TTTAATGCCCAGGATCTGCCTTTGCACCACAGATCAGATATGTAACTTGTCCATTTAACCACAACCTACAGGAAGATCTTAAAACAACATCAACTGCAACCTAAATACTCCATTTCTGGAAACTCTTCAACAATGTAAAGTTCATACACATGGTCCATTCTAATAGCAGAGTACACATGGTATCTGAGAGCCATCCCGTAAATTAAAGTCCCGCAGGGTTAAATAAAGTAAGCAACCGTTTAGTGTCCAAGAGACTTGGATTAAAAAAAATTTTTTAGAGGCTATACAAAAAAAATCACTGACCTTTTATCATTTTCTTCCCCTCCTCTGTTTTTTTGTTTTTGTAGTAGTGTGCATAAATATCGGGCATATTTATACCACATCGTTTTTATTCTGTCCATCTCAAGTACAAGTTAATCTAGAACCCATTTAGTCCTTCTCCTAGGAACAACACACATCAAACTAGAACACTGACAGTGGTCACCACAGTCAGAAGCCAGCATCACAGTCAGGCATCAAGAACCTCGCCAGGAGGCAATGCCCAGTTACACTGGTGCTACACTCTGTTCTTCCCAGCTCAGGTTGGAATGTTTGTTTTTAAACTGTTTAAATGTGTTCACATTGGGCAAGCTCTGTCAAAAACGCTCTGAAAGCCACAAATTAAGAGATTCTGAAACAAGTATCATTCATAAAAATTTCTCCCTCATATTAAAGATGCTCTGAGAAAACAAGGAAGTACAGGTTATTGAAAATAACTTCACATTTCACCACTACCACTTTTAAGACACTGGAAAGCAACTGAGATCTGGGGAGAAATGAGCAGTACCTAAGACAGGTAATACTAGGTCATACTAGGTATACCAATGCAGAAGCTGACTGCAGAAGTCTACAGCCATTCCCTCTCGAGTTCAGCAGCCTATGAGGACATTTACTCACATTTACTAATGTCTTGCACAAAAAGATACTGCTTAAACTTTTCCCATCTCCTAGTTTCAGACCATGTTCTACACAAAAGTATTTGTATCGTATGTTACTAACTCCAGCCTAAATAAGCCTAGTAATTCATGTCAAATGATACAGTTTTTCAGTTCCAAGCATATATTACTCTAAAAATATACTCCTCCATGAAAAGATAACTGTTAGTTTGATGGCAGATCAATAATTGACTATTTAATGAGTACCTACTATGACTACAGTCTATACTCATTCTTTAACCGGTAAGAAAAAAACACCTGCTTCAAATACAGGATGACACCAGTGAGGGAAGATACTACATGAGCATTTCTAATAGAAAGCCGTGTGAGTCACTATCTGAACATGTGAAATTGTTCATCCCTAGGGCATGAAAAAACCTCAGATTTATTAGTAATCACTTTACAGGGATAAATTAACATTTGAAGAACGCCATAGAGTACTTTGAGGAAGCGATGCCCATACATAAAATTAAGGCCGATTCCCTAAAGATATGGAAGAAAAGCCAGAATGTCATGGCTGATAATCACCCAAAGACAGAATAATAGTCTACACAAATATCTCTGGTTAATTCAGGCACAGGGCACTTGTGTTAGGTTTCTAACTTTGCTCGAGGGGGCTGGTTTAATAAAGAAAACTACCTTTAAATAGGAGCACTTTAAGCAAATACAAAAATAAAAACCCTTTAAATAAAATTCTCTATAAAATCACTATATAAGTTCAAGTTCCAAATCTCATTTCAATGTCCATACATACATGTATGTGAATACACACACATACATGCCTTCAAAGTATCTGAATTTCACTTACGGTGTTTCGTGCAGCTGTATACCTTGACTTTTATGTTTGAGCCGAATTGTGTATCTTCAGCACAGTAGTGTGTTTCTCCTGAAGCTGAGAATGTGGGCAATGTGAGGACACAGAGGTAAGCTACTTTCTAACCTTCAGCAATTCTGACCTGTTGGATCCCTGCAAGGTACCAGGCACGATACGATGTACTGGACACGAGCAGGGTTTCTTTCAGGGAAGCTGAAGTTTTAAGAACCAAAACAGTTGTCAGGTTGAAAACCAAGAGGAATTTTCTGAACAGTATTTCCAAAGACAGAATGATGTCAACTAAAACACCCCCAACTTCTGCCCAACGTGGAAAACAACAGATTACAGAAATCGTTTCCAGAGAAGACGTGTAAGAGAACATTCATAGGGCCACAGGGACTGAAGCAGTGAGACGAACAATGAGGCAGTCACAGAGCGTCTAGAAGCCACTGCACTGGTAGTGGTTTATAAAAAATACTATCTATACTAAAGTTTTAAGAGCTAGTAATATATTTAGCGTATTTTTGCCTTTTCTTTTTTTGACACTGAATATAAAATTTTGTCCTAAATTTACTAAATCTTCTACACCCTGAGGAATAACAGATTAATGAAAGAAATGCCAGGGTTAGCTTTGTGAACCATATTATTGTCCAAAAAGCACAACCTATAAAGAGCTAATATTCTTGGAAGCACAAAGTTTCATCTCCAGTCTAAGCTAATGCTCTCTATTTATTTTGAGCAAAGAGTTTGGTTTAAGTGTTAACATGGCCTAACAAGAATACAGATGTCCAAATTGAGAGCCAGAGGCACACCCTGCCACACACACACACCCCACCCCCCCCACAGATCTCCAACTGACACAATGGTTTTCTGTCTCCACTATAAACTATGACATATTGCTGCCATTTAGGAATATATTATTCAACAGTCCTTGGAAAAGCACTTTGGAATCTTTAGCTGTATATTTTTATGAAATTACAAGTTATTTGCTATCTTGAAATAGGGAATTTCTATTTCTCCCTCTGCATACCCAAATACAACATGCCACATTTTAAATTTCATCTTAGTATTTACTTTTTTTCCTTCAACATGGAATTTGGAAGGGAATACTTAAAGTCCTTAAATCGAGGCAAAAGATTCATTTAGAACAATCATTTGGCCTTCTTGTAGGGCACAGTGCCACTCCTTCCCTTGACCCTGGGCTGCCCAGGCTTCATGCTTATCTTTAATTACACACATGCTTACCTCTAAATACAATGCCTCCAACCCCCAAAAAGTTAGTTGCTACAGGAAAAGAATGAATTCTTCTTGGTAGGGTGCTTAAAAATGCTAACTAAGAAATACAAACCAAAGCATCCTACCTGCTCATATCAGTATATCATGAAAGGACACAAACTCCAAGGGACCGGACCTAACAACTGGAATCAATGTAATGAATTACAATCAACTGTTTGATAAAACTTCCATCCTTCGTTTTCTACCTGAACATTAAATATAATCTTGTTCCCTCTAGAAAGAAGAAAGGCACTCAAATTAACACAGTATGTTTAGCTATTTTTTAAAAGACATAGTGTGACAAGAATTTTCAGGGTTGATTTTTTTCCTGCCCACTACCTTCATGCCCCTGAATTTATCTATGCCTTCTTGTGCCTCCACGTACACCTCCATTCAACAGGAGCACACTGAGAGTACATGTAGGCACGGGGAGGTGGCAGCACGCCAAGTACCAGGGTCTGCACGGTTCTGTTTGAGACATTTACTCAGAAGACACAAGTTAATAATGCTGTTCAAATTTTCTAGAATATTTTAAATACTTTAAAGTTCTAAAATATAATTTTCTAGTAACAAAATAACTGTAAGCTTACAAAAAACTTTCTGCAAAAAAAAGAATATATGTTATTCCTTTTTTTAACTAAATCTTTAGTATCTTCTATAATTAAGAGGGACTAAGAGATTACACTGTTGTACAGCAAGAGGCAGTTGTACTCCTAAATTATATTTAGCCCATGCCAGATACCATATTGTGCTACAGAAAATTATTACTTTTAATTTGTTCTCAACAATATTAAAAGTTCTCCTTATATAATAAGCATGAATTGACACTACCTGAATACGTGGAAATCACACAAAGTCTACCACCATATACGCTTTCCTATCAACTGCCACAGAAAAGTCCAGGAACTCTTGTTTTCCTACCTTGTGTCACATAAGCCCTCATCTGAAGATTTAAATAGCTCTGGGTGACAACTTGTATAGGTTTTATCCTATTAACAATGAAGTCCTGAATTTAATTAGAACCATACCACAGAAGTAAGGGATATGATTTAGAGTCTGAGCCCAGGGTTTCCAAAGAGGGAATAGAAAATGCTAAAACCTAGAAAAGAAAAAAGGGATATTAATAGGTAACTAATCCTAAAATTTTTAAAAAATGACTTATATAGGTTTAAGAAATACCTAAAAGGTCCACAATTCAAGCTGGGGAGGAGAAAAGGAGAAGCATAAAATGACTATCCAGGCACAAATACAGATCACCAAGTCTTTGAAATCAAAGAATTTCTTCAAATGCTCCAGTGTCTCTGGCTCTGTTGGCAAGATCTGTCCTCTAATATTGTAAATGAACAGAAAGTAGTGTACTTAATGCAAACGAGCTTCATTCTGTGAATTTTTAACATATATTTAAAGTACAGTTATTTCATAATTATAGAGCTGCATTTCTTGGCTGGGATTTAATGAGCTTAAACAAGGTAGTTAAATGAAGAAAAAAATCTAAACTACCTTACTGTGTATGTAAAAGCTCACCTGAAGTATCATGAATCGAGAATCTATCATTCATTCACAATCCATTGCTCTAATCTGTTAATTTCTCAATCATAACTCATTCTATGCATTACTCATGATCAATCTTTCCCTTCTTCAAACAGTTAATCATTTATTAATTTGATAAATATTTAATGAGTCCTCACAATGTGCAAGGCACACAGTATAATGTGGGAACACCATATTAACAAAATAGGTGTACTTAAAAAAAGGTGGGATGAGGGAGGAAGGTGGTGGTGGAGGTATTTACAGATCTTATTGCTTTTGGCTTGTCAGTAGTATTCTTGATCCATAGGAAGGTACCATAGCCTACTATTCTCCCAATGGAAGTTTGATGAAATGTGTGTCAATCCAAACTATCTTTTTGACAATGACTTATTTATAAGAAAAAAAAAAAAAAAAAAAAAGACTGACAAGTCCCTGAAAATAGACACACCTTTCCACTGCATAAACTCATCCAAAGAGATGTTATCACGCTCCAGCTAATGAGTGTAGATGTCAACCATTTAGAGAAAAACACAACCATATAGGGCAATACTAGGTTCTTCTGTGAATGAACACTTGAAAAATGCAAATTTTAGAAATAAAGTAGCACATAAAAGTCACAAACAGTAAACATCCTTTAGATATTTGTATTTTTAGTCCCTACTCAAAACATTATTAGGAAGACAAGAAACCAAGGTATCTTATAGGACTGCATGGCTTCATAAAGGGGTGGATTAAGGGCCTTAAAACACATGAAGACAGATCACATCAAAGGTGGAGGCTATAAAAAGGTGGGGCCGCGATCAAACTGAGCTGATGTTTTACAGGGTCTTATCTCTACTCCTGTCCTGACACTCTCACCTCAAAGCATAAGAAGCCCTAGTACTTGGGATGCTCAGACTGATGTGTGGAAGAAAGGTAAACTGAGTGAGGCCAGGATTTGGCGGCTTGTATTTAGGGGAATGGGCTGACTCTCACGCCCTCTCTGTGTGGTCTCCCCACCATGCCCTGCAGGTGCTGAAAATCACAAACTAATGGTTTTATCCATAGAGGTCTCGGTAGACCTTGAGGTATTTGATTCAAAATATGCTTTGTCTACAAAGGGCCACAGAATTATGTTCAAAATGACAGTTATTTTCTTACCTAAATACTATGAAAACTACAAAAGGTTAATTTTGCCCCAAGAGAGAAAAGCAGGTTCTGTCTACCAAGAGGCAGGCTGACCAATTTTTCTGGTGTTCTTAAGTCTTACCGGACAGTTTGCTACTCATCAAAATCATGATGCACTAGAAGAACTCATTCTTCTCCTAAACGTAAGGCAGTGTGCCTCTCTCAAGCCCAGGGTTTCCATAAGAGAAGACAGGAGACGTCTGCCTTTCCCTAGGTCTGTCCCCTCACCCTACAGGTGACCTAGTGAGGAAAAAGGAGAGCAAGCAAAGTACGGCGGTCACACTTACTTCGGCCACTATTACATTCCGCACACATATAGGACAATAGGCAGTTTCTGTCATTAGGGGAACTTTTAGAGGGGCAGTTCATTTTAGTATTTTGTGTGTGTGTGTGTTTAATGGGGTATGAAATTCATTGGAAAGAGGACAGAGAGTATCTTCAGTACACATCCTCAAAATAAGACAATTAAGGAAAAACATACAAAAGTGAAAGTGTCAAAAAATATGGAATGGATTGAAAAATAAAGAAAAGGATATGTGGAGAGGAAATAACAAACACAGACCATTTACATGGGGGAAAATATATTAAGAAAGTAAACATTACCAGGCCCTTTTCCCACCCTGCCTCACAGACCTGAAAAACCCAGCCCTTATTATTGAAAAGATAAGATATAGCTGTGAGGTGGCTACTTTGGTACCTCATCCCTGATAAGTTTAATATCAAAGTCTTTAAGTTTTTTTTTTTTTTTTTTTTTTTTTTTTTTTTAAACAAAGGTTGAAGAACTAATCTTCAAAAGCTTTTCTCTCCTCTGGCATTTACCAGCAAACTTTTAACAATCACTTCATAAAAATTTTGTAGTTTAAGTATATCCTCAGGAACTTAAATTTTTAAAAAGAAAGATTTTTATGGATACATTTCCATGCATATTTCCCCCACTTTTCATGGCGAATTTAAAAGGGAAATAAGTAGTAGGAACTAAAAATGACATTTCAGGTTTAAACAACAAATGATGTTTATATGGGCTAACTTGAGTGTTTTTGGCCTATACCAAATTTGAGGTAAAAAGAATCTATCAAAACCAGTAATAAAAATAATTTCCCAGTCCTGTAATTACATAAACTCTTAAAATTCATTTCTCTTTTAAAATAACCATTTTAAAATGGATTACACATTGGAAGCATGTTTTTATATAAATTCCAATACTTCTGACTTTGGTTACATTGGTCAATAACTTGAATAGAGAAAAAGAAATTATTTATATTTTCACAAATCCATCTATCTGGCCACTTGATTTTCAAAACAATAATTAGATATGAGTAATTTTGAGCTTGTATTATTCTAAAGCTGAACAACATAAATTTTTAATTAAAAACAAACAAACAAACAAACAACCAGCCTATGCAGCAATTGCACTGAGTGGGGTAGACGTGTCTGTGAACCAGTCAGGAGAACCAAATGAGAAGAAGCTACACGTATAGAAATATAAAGGATGAGAAGTTAAGAAAAAAAAAAATTAAGACTCACTGTTTAGCAGGAAGAAACTACACAGTTATTTTATCCCCAAAGGAATGCCAGTTCTTAACAAAATAAATAAATGAAAGATTTACTACGGACTTTTAACCTAAAGATGAAGACCACATCATAGCAAACAGTTCATGCAACTATGTAAGGAAAAAGGAAAGCAATATTGCACTAAAAGGGTGACCTTGCAGAACTAATCTACGTCTTTCACTGACTCAACGTAACCAGCCATTTCCTGTAGGCATTGGCAAACCTGGCCTGCTCTACGTTCCGGCAGGTGGACAATACTTGATCGATGAACCTATGCTCCATTTCCAGGCCCCGGGAGTCAGGAGCTGGGGTCCGCTTCAGGCGTTTGGTTTCCTGGGAATAGCCTTGCTTGCTACAGTCATTCAGCCCATCTACCTCCATGGCCTGAGACATGTGTGGGCCTGCTGGGATGAGGTGCAAGTCACTCCGAGTCCCCCCAGGGCTGTCTGCAGGTGACAACTGGGTCACACTGTGAGGAAACCTACCACTTAAGTGATGCTGAAGGTAGAAAATGTGCCGCCTGGGAAAGAGGAGGGGGAGAAAGGGAACACAGAGAAGAAAAATCATTATCGTGAAGTCAAGCTTTTCCGGGGAGAAAAAAAACCACAATAGTAATAAGTTGATAATTTCAAAACATATAGTGCTCATTTTGCTACCCCCCCTTAGCGACCAGAGTTACCTGGAGGCAGGGAGGAGGAACAATTACCTAAGTCTCTGCATATTTAGACCAGAGTCTTACAAGCCCAGATTACTGGACTGTTTGTGAGAAAGAATCCTACATATGACCCCAAAGGGTTTTGGGTTTTTTTTTTTTGACCCCAAAGGATTTTTACACCATTGACTGAGATGATGCTAATCACTTCGAATTGTTACTCTTTGTAACCACAACACAAAATGAGAAATAGGTCTTAGCCCAATTTCTGCTATTAAAAAATAAAACAGAAGCAAAAATTAACTTCACTGATATCCTAAAACAGAAGTGATTTAGGAACAAGGGGATTAAATAGCTCATCCAGAGGCTTTTAGTCCATGGCCTCTATCTTCTGTATTTTCTTTAGTAAGAACATGTATTATCTAAAAACCAACTGAACTTTTCCTAAAACCCACCACTACAGTCTCATTAAATAAATGAATGAGATTTATTTATTTATTAGGGATGTGCTGGGCTCTGAAAAAAGCATGTAAAAGGCACAGCTCTTGCACTTCCTCTAAGGAGAGCAGTTCTCCTGCCCTTAGGCTCATCCAGAGTTATTTGATTTTGTTTGTTTGCTTAAAGATTTTATTTATTTATTTGACAGAGAGAGAGACAGCGAGAGAGGGAATACAAGCAGGAGGAGCGGGAACAAGCTCCCCCTGAGCAGGGAGACTGATGAGGGGCTCCATCCTAGGACCCTGGGATCATGACCTGAGCCGAGGGCAGATGCTTAACAACTGAGGAGTTATTTGTTAACAGTGAAGACCTATGTGTCTAATCTGCAAAAATTCTGACTCAGTGGGGGTGCACATCTCCTGTTCACAACTGGTAAACTACATAGATTCTAGGTTGTTCTATCTCATTATTCATATTAGCAACTCTAAGCCCTTGAATGAGAATTCTGTTCATTTTCCCAGCATATTCTGGAGTAGACAGGGGGCATATGATTTACCCATTTTATAGAGGATAAAACTTAAAGGACAGATAAGGTGCCTCAGGGCAATGAATGAAGGGCCAGAAACTGGCCTGTATAATATAGAGGTCATCTAAACTGTCACTTCTCCCCATGCCTCACCCCAAATTTCAATTAATCTTTATAGAAGGCTTCTGCTAATAGCTATCTCTTAACACAAATATAATTTTTAAATTTTCTCAGCCTTGCTACTGATGCACCTAAATATAGAATAGCAACAGAAATCTATTAACACCAAAACAATAAGGAAGTTAAGATCTTCTCTCTAGAAAATGTAGAGGAAGAGTGTCTTATTTTTATGAGAAAAATATTTTTCATGAAGGTGCCAAAGAGGGGAGTCTTCCATCTTCTAAATACGAACAGCAGCTGAACACATCTCCTCAAATAGCCTACAAGATAGACTAGACTGGCAAAAGGGGGGCAAATCTCAGCAACTTTAAAAATATAAAAACATACAAATATTTAAAATGCCTACCTCCTGCCTGGCACAGCAAGTCCTTTGTTTATAAACAGAATCCTCTAGTCTGAAATAGAATCCGTATTTATAGAGATGGAGATGCCTCAAAAAAGAACCAATCAGGGGGTTCCCACACCTGGACTTCATCCCAGTATGACAGTTATTTTGAGGTCAAATGTACTCAGAACCCACATTATGAGGTTGTTCATTTCTTTCACTGCTTCCTAATAATCCTGCCCTGTGTGTCAAGAGCTTATACTTAAGGAAACTTAATTTGCAGACTATCAATAAGCTTAACTATTCTCAAGGCCTAATCCATGGTCTACATCTGACTCTGCATCAAATTTACCTGTTAAGTTTTTTTGGTTTTTGTTTTTTTAAAGACTAGATGGCAGTGTTCCATCCCAGATAGATAGATAGATAGATAGATATAGATATAGATATAGATATCGATATCTATATCTATATCTCTCTATATATATCAGAATCTCCAAGGAGAGAGTTGAGAAACTTCTGTTCACAGTTTGGAAGTAACAGAGGCTACTCTGTTGGAGAGTCAAGCTTGAATATCCCCAACCTAAGCATTAGGCAGAGATCTGCATGAGGAACCTCATATTGAAGATCACGAGGAAGAAGTATGATAGCATAAACTTTGAATTCACGTAAAGCTCCACGATCAGTTACCTACCACCTGAGCAGGCAGGCGGAAGACAGAAGACCTTCTACAGCTCTCATGAACTCAAGCAGTCCCATGCAGAAAATAGATTTTCCGTCCTCTTACCTGTGACACCAAAGGGTTTCATGTCCTGGGTAGGAATCAATAAGATCAGTGCTGAATTCAACTTCTTCTTCTAGAAGACGGGGAAGATTTATCGTCGCTTCCTCTGTTGAAGCTGCTGCTTCTTCATCTTTTAGAAGAGCTGGCTCACTTCTCAAAGGGTTTTGCTCCAATACAGAACCATCTATCACAGTTTGGCTAATCAAAGACTTTAACAAAAACTGGCGGTAGTGAAATCCACTGTGGTCTGAAACATGCATGGATGCCCAGTGTTTAGTAGAAGAGAGTTCATCAAGAAGAATCTTGTAGGAAGAAAAAAGGGAAGTGAGAAGAGGAACTGCCAAAGGAATTTCTCCATTAATGCTTTGCATTTCTCTTTGATTTGTTCCTTGTATTTTTTGGTAACATTGTTTCTATCAATACTTTGTATACAATGTCCAACACAGTGGTGTCAGTTAGTGTAAGCTCAGCGAAGGCTAGTTTCCCCTTTCCCTAATAAAATTGTAAGACACGTGTGTGTATATACACACACACACACACACAGACATACACAATTTAAGGACTTATTTTTCATTCTTTCTCTGGACCTTGATCAATCACATTCTGATTGGCACATACATAGAAAAACTATTCTAAAATAATGATGAACATTAGGGTGTTTATTTACAAGAATGCTGATGTTGAGAGAAAATACAAACTCAAAGGTTACTTTGATGAACTTTAATATTTAATGAACATTACAATATTTAACTTATTATTTGTTAAACAACTGATTCATTGTATTATTTGTTCTTCACTGTAAGTGCCATGAGGGCAGAGACGGTCAGTTTTGTTCACTAATAATTCTAAGGACTTAGTACAAAAAATATGATGCATTAGTAACAAGAATTTTCAAGAGCACATGATTTTCACTATTCATCTCAAACTCAATTAACATCAATGATAAATGATTTTTTTTTTAAGTAGAGGAGACAAAATTCAGCAGTGAATTAAGTCTTTGTATTATCAATCCTGCAAACTAAGCAACTTCAAATGGAATGATTAAAAAGAAAAGCAGCAGTTATGAAAAAATAAATTATTTGGCAGTGTCTTGGACAAGTAGCAAATGCAAATGGATTCTGATCAGCAAAAGCTATATTGAGGGCCTCCCACATGCCATTAGAGGACTTTCAGACCAGTTAAGAAAAAAAGACATATATTTGCCAGCAGTGAATAATACAGACAGCACAAAGCCCAAGTGCTCCTCCTCCATCTGCTTTTCAAGGGTCCCCGGCAAATGCCTTCTCTCATACCGAGAGTCCTCTCTATTCCTCATGGTTCCCTTCTTCCCTAGAAGAAATCTCTCCCTCTCCTGAACCTCTATGTGTTCTACTATACATATAGAATGTCTGCACATCTTTTCATCCCCACTAAATTCTGTAAGTTGTTGAAGATATTTATTCATTCCTAATTAATGCTTCCAACGTTCTATACTCGATGGCATCAGAGTGAACACATAAGTATTTTATGAATGAATCAACGATTGAACTGAACAATTTGATGAATTAAGTGACTAGTAGAGAGGAACAAGATTACTCCCAGCAAAGGACAGTTGATATTTATCAGTGAAATGCTTTAAGCCTCTCCTTTAAATTCTAATGGGTTTATTCAAAGCCAAATAGGTTTGTTCCAGAGCTGGTGAATCTCTGAGAAATGGCAAACAAGACTGTTTATTTGATTAAAATGAGCAAAACAGCACAAGATAAACTTCCACCTTAGAAAAATATATACTAACCCTGAGGTTATTACATCTTTGAAGAATTAACCTGCAGGCTATTTAGGCGGTAATACATCAGCTTTTTAATTCTGGTTTGGTAGGGTTTCTTAATACAGATTGAAAAGAGTACAAAACTGTTTCAAAGGAATTTAAGTAACATAAAAAACCTTTAGATTATTTCTTATTACACGTTTCTATATGTAAAATTTTCAATTATTTTAATTTCGAGACAAAAAAATAGCACATATATGATAAATTTTCAACAATATAAATATAATTCCTTTAAAAAGTTTTCTCAGACTTTTTAAGAGAAAAATTCACTATATTCTTTGCCCTTCCTATATTTAAGAGGCATACTAAATGAGAAAAGAAACTTCAACAGGAATTTTGGGGCATTTTTTTTTACTAAAATCAAAAGGCGCAGAGATATAAACGATATTTTTTTCCCAACATTTTCTTAGCTATTCTTGAAGTTTTATTCTTCCTAATGTACTTTAGAACCAGTTTTTGAAGTTGAAAAATAAACTGGTGGCTTTCAGTATATATACAGATTTGTGCAGCCATCACTGCTGTCTCTTTTCAGAACATTTTCATCACCTCCCAAATTCCTATTAGGAGGGTCCTATTCCTATTAAGGGTCCCCTAAATCTCCATTCCCGTCAGCCACTAATGTGCTCTGCCTATTCTGAATGTCATATAAATGAAATTATAGAAGATGGGCATTCTGAACCTGGCTTCTTGCCATCAGCATGTTTTTAAGGTTCATCCACATATCAGAACTTTGTTCCTTTTTATGACTGAATAACATCCCATTGTAAGGATATACCACACTGCATTTATCTACTCCTCAGATATTGGACATTTGAGTTGTTACTTGTTTTTGGCTATTATAAATTATGCTGTTATAAACACTGCTGTAACGAGTTTTCCATTCTGTGGGATATATACCTGAGAGTAGAACTGCAAGGTCATATGTGGTAATTCTAGTTTTAATTTTTTGAGGAAATGCCAAACCGCTTTCCACAGCGGCTGCATCATTTCACATTCCTACCAGCATGTATAAGGGTCCCAGTTTCTCCACAACCTTGTCAGCACTTTTAACTTGTTTTTCATTTCAGCCATCCTACTTGGTATGAAATGATATCTCACTGTGGTTTTGATTTGCATTTCCCTGATGGCTAATGATGCTGAACATCTTTTCATGTCTTTCTTGGCCATCTGTATGTCTTTTTTTGCAGAAATGGCCCTGTGTGCTTTCTCAGGTGACATACCATTATCAACTTTTAATTGGCTAGTAGTAATAAATTCTGTTCAACTTTTGAGTTTTTCCTCTCACCCCACCCTCACAAATGAGGCTATTTTAAAATTTACTTAAATAAATATCTACCTAAAACACACACTCACCACAGAAAATAAAACAGAAAATAAAAAACTCGTAATTTCATCCTCCAGCACTGTTCACAATTCTTTATTCTCTCTCTCTTTTTTTTTTTACTAGAAAATGAATACGTATATATATTATGGAAACACAAGCCAATATATCTGTAATAGCACTGTGTGTGTGTGTATATATGTTAAGCAGTTACAATATGCCAAGCACTGCTCCAAACACTAAGATCTCATTCAAAGCTAATAATATATTAAAAAATTAGGGCCATCTCATATTTAGTTTTAAAGATTCTTATCCTATACTGAACTTTTTCATTATTTTATTTTTTTTTAAATTTTATTTATTTATTTGACAGACAGAGATTATAAGTAGGCAGAGAGGCAGGCAGAGAGGGAGAGGAGGAAGCAGGCTCCCTGCTGAGCAGAGAGCCTGATTTGGGGCTCGATCCCAGGACCCTGAGATCATGACCTGAGCCAAAGGCAGAGGCTTTAACCCACTGAGCCACCCAGGCGCCCCTGAACTTTTTCTTTAAATACTCTTCCAAAATATAATTTTTAGTAACAATAAAATATTCTAATATGTGGTGAACTGCAATGTAACTGATCTGTTATTATTGGAGGGTTAGACTGGTTCTACTTTTTCACTATTATAACTAGCATTTCTATATATCAAACTTTCATATTTAATAGCCTGTGTTTATTGAACACTTAGTATGAGCACTTCTGATGGCCACTTTACGTGGATTTCCCATTTAATTCACATCACTCAGTAAGGTAGGAATTTTCACCTGTCCCATTTTACTGATGAAGAAACTAAAAGTTAGTGAGGTTAAGAAATTTCTCCAAGGCCACAAACCAAAATGGTGGTATAGTCAGGATTCAAATTAGGTCTGTCTGACCAATGAGTGGAGCCTTTAATTACTACACCACCATACTGTACCTCCCGGTATTTCTTTAGGATGAAATCCCATAAGCAGAAATCCTAGATGAGAAAGAACACAACTTTTTTTGTAGAGTCAGATAAATGCTGCCATGCTGTCCTTCAGTAAGATCGCACCAATTTCTACGATGCTTGCTTTCATAGCCTTATCAATGCTGTATACAAGCACTTCAAAAAAAATTTTCTTGGGGGGTGCCTGGGTGGCTCACTCAGTTAAATGTCTGCCTTAGGCTAAGGTCATGATCTTGCGGTCCTGGGATTGAGCCCCACATCAGGCTCTCTGCTCAGTGGGGAGTCTGCTTCTCCCCCTCTCTCTGCCCCTTTCCCCAGCTTGTGCTGTCTCTTTCTCAAATAAATAAAATCTTAAAAAAAAAATCATTTAAAATTTCCCAAGTAAAAAGATGCCAGCTCATTTTATATGTACTTTTAAGCTGCTTTAGACCAGTGGTACTTCTGTGATGACTGCCTCTACAGACAAAGCACAGGAGGGCATGATCTCCTAGCTGGGGCCAGTGGCTTCTAAGAACAGAAAGAGGATTGGGCAAATTCAGCATTCTTCACTGAGACAGCTGCAGTGGCAGGGGGAAAGGAAGAGTATGGAGCTCAACCAAGGGCAGGGCACAGCCGGTGGACAACATGTGAGCCTAGCAGTGGACTCAGGCCACTGAATCAACACACCAATAATGAGTTGTCATCTTCAACATCAGATAGCCTCAAAAAAACAAGAATTTCACTTTACCCCCGTGTGCTTGATTTTAAGGGAATGCCACTTTAAAGGGTCCACATCAAGGCAGGCAGGTCTCCAAAGACCGTTCAGCTCACCTGGACTCTGCCTTTCTCTTTATACTCAGTCCCCATGTACCTTCCCAGCCCCTACACACTATCAAGTTGTGGAGCTGAGATGACCAGACTCTGTTAGAACTCCCCTATCTCCCACATCCCGCCAGATGACTTGAACCTGTTCCTCCAGACTCCTGACAATGGAGCAGCCTTCCTTCTGGCAACTGTTTCCAATGAGCCCAGCCTAGATGAGAAGCCATTTCTGTGCTCCCACTGTCCCTGGTGCTTCCCTCAGCTCCTGCGAGGGTCAAACTGCTTTGTGAGTGCTGGTATCCGCTTCCTCAACTAGATTTTCAATTTGTTGAGAGCAATCTCGCTGTCATTATGCCACACCCAGCATATAAGGCATTGTCTGGGAATGAAAGAGTTTCAGTACTTTTTCATGAATAAATTACATTGAGTTGATCGAGCAAACTGGGAGTCAGTTTCACCTAAACCTTCTATCTGTGAGGAACAGAGAAAGGAACTAAAATACAGTAAGCCTCTATTAGGTGCCCAGTACTTTACACACATGAACTCAAATTGTCAGAATAATCCACTGAGGCAGGCAGTGGAGCTGGTATTTCACAGATGAAACATGAAAGCCTTACTTTTCACACATAGCTAGTAAGGCCAAAATGTGAAGCCAGGTCAGTAGGATTCTGTCTTTGCTCTTTCCACTCCTTTAAGGGGCCTCCCCTCCTGAAACACACAACTGGGGGGGAAGGGCTACTCTTCCAGAACTGTTGGCTTAAAATTCCCCAGAAATGAAAACTCTTATTTACCCTGGAGGAATCTCTGGCTAGGACACAGAGTGGGGAGAGAGGAATGAAGGAAGGGGCTGGTGAGCGAAATGAGAGAACGCTTCCCAGTTAATCTGAAAGTGCCACTTGAGGTATTCTCGCCCCTTTAAGTCGTCTCAAGCCTGAGAAGCTCTCAGAGCAGGGCCCTACATTCTTATGGCACCGAAACGTAAGAAGTGAAGAAAAATATAGAGAAGCTATAGTACGTAAGAAGGAGAAAAGGATACCTGGTTCTTGTCCCGATGAATAGTAAGTGACGCAACTGTGGCTAAGTCTAAGCCATTAACATTCTCTGGAAACTTCGATCTCCTCATTTCTAAACTGAAGGGTCTAGGCTATGACAGCTTCCAACTCAGCTCTGTCTCCAGATAACCCCCTGAGCCCCGTGAGAAATACTGATCTTAAATCCTACCCTCTCCCCAATTTAGTAGGCCTGGGGTAGGACTCAGAAATCTAATGTAATTTATAGACATAGGCAAGTTTGGGAAGAGCGGGTGAGGTCTCTTACCTCCCCAGGAGAGGAGATGGTGAGAAGGCAGCCAGCTGATTCAGCACATGAAGTCACACAAGCAGAGACCACTAAGAAAGAGCAATTCCAGCGCTATAAGGCCTAATAATCCCTTCCTGTTTCAGCGCAAAAGGAATTATGCTCAGTCTTCTTACTGCTTAAACTTGTCCTCATTCTACCAATATACTAACCCCAAGAGTGCCAGAAACTGCACTGCTGAGAAATGCAAACTTTTTAAATTGCCGGGGTTTCCTTGGAGGGATCAGTTGCTAGATCCTTCCCACGCTGCTAGGTCATTAGTTCCTGTACTTTCCTCCTTAAAAGCTCTTCTGAGGAGGAACTACTGTCAGAATATTTAAAGGGCAGACAGGGAATGTGGCTCGGGAGACGAAGAACAGCCTTACCTTCACGTCTAGCTTGGCCAGGTGCTGGAGAACCCAGATGCGATGGGACCAGGCATTGTAGTTGCTCGGGTATCTGCCTGCTGCTTCGCCACAGACTTCCATCTCTTCTTGGATCAGTCTCTGGGTCCTTTCTGCAGGAACTGTTCCCAAGTTTCCTTTCGTCACAAAGGAAGGCAAGGAGGTTTCCTGAATGAGCTGTTGTAGCACCCATCGCCTGTGAAGGTACATGTGGGAAAGAAAATGAGGAAAGAACATAAACCAGAGAGGTGCAAAACAATGCAAAATGCAAAACAATCCCTGTCCATGAGCCCAATTTTGGGGGAGTGGGATTATTCTGTTGTTTTTGTTTTTAAAGATGTAATTAACTTCGGCAGCATGGACGGGGAGGAGGGGGAAGAAAGGACAAAGAGGAAAGAGAAACCTTTCTAGAACATTAAAATCTGTCAGAAAGAGAATGCCTCAACTCCAATATAACAACTCAGAAACTCCACTTGGCCAGAAAATGCAAAGACAAGGTGCGAATGTGGAGGGGGGACTGCGGTGGTGGAGGGGATATTAAGTAATGGCTGGTAAATACCAGAGGAGGAGTCACAGTTCACATCTTTAATTACACTTGCATGCCTCACCCTATGTGTATTTGCTGCAAACAAGAAGCTGCATTATGACTGCTTTCATTAAGCAGGATTTCTATGTTACAGCATAGAATCTGGGAGGACACAAATACAATATAATTAGTTAAAACTATGAGGAGTTTTAAAATGTCTTTATCCACAAATATTTCCCTTGTCTAAGATTTTCATTAGCACGCTTATTTAAATGAAAAGCATTAAAAAAGCTTCTCTGGCCACTTAATGTGCTTAGTTTTTACAAGTATTTTCTCGTAAGAAGCATTCTTTTAGATTAAAAATTTCCAACCCAGAAGTTACTAGAAATTGAGTAAGAAAACTCATTTTGTCATTTTCAAATGGAAGGTTTTTTTACTTAACTTATAAAACAAAAGCTTGCTTTATATAAAATATTAGACAAGCTTAGAAACTGGTGAATGCATATTCAACACTGCCCTCCCCAGCCACCGCTCCTTTCCAGACCTCCACACACACAACCACAGGCCTCTTTGAAGTGCTATCCCAATTCCTACTAAGAAAAAACAACCAGCATGGAAGCAGCTGATCTGCAGTGCTAGCCAAAGGCAAGATCATAGTGAAGATACCTCAAACTGACTAAGATCCTAAAAATGCTCAGGATTTAAGAAAAGTTGTAAGCGGCTTAGTAAACTGAAAACAGATTTCTTTGAAGAATTTCCCCACTGACCCCAGGAAGCCAGCCCATACCATCTCATTTAGTCAAAACAGTAGTTCCAGAGTCCAAGAGGAATGCACTCCAGAGAGCCAGGGTGGCGAGGAGACTTTTCACGAGCACTGGGGCTGACTCAGGCCTTTACGTTAAAAATATTCTCTGCATTTAGTCTTAGCAACTTCAGCGCTGCCTCTACACCACTCACCTCAGCTGCCCTTACCTTCCTTATTTTGTTAATTTTAATAACCACAGCCATCACCACAACCATCTGTACCAGAAACATATCTGCATGAATTATAAAACCCAAGTTCTTCATAATAGTTGACCATCTCAATGCCATTTCTATGACTGCTCAGATAGTTCATAATGAACAGTAACAGCTAAAATTTACTGAGCATTTAATATGTGCCCGGCACTGTGGTAGTGTTAATATACATTATTTCATGGAAAGCCAACCATTAACTCTGAAATAGGTGTAATTATTATTTCCATTTTATGAATGAGAAAACTGAGGCTTGAAGAGCTTAAATCATTTCTGAAAGTCACACATGGAGCACGTGATGGCATTTGGAGCTGGAAAGTAGTTAAGTTGAGTTTAGAATTCACACTCTGAACCCATATGTGACCCTGCTTGACACTTGTTTCTCCAGCAATTCTGAACCCTACGAGACCTACGGTGTAAAGTAACCACACCTGTGAATCCATGTTTCTGGACTCTTTGGAAATTTAGTTAAGGCCAGTTTTCCCAGATGCAAGTCCTTAATTGGATTTAAAGTACCAGAGAGGATGAGCTCTTTTCTGTAAAAGAAAAATGAAAAGAACCATTACTCTACCTTTCCATCCAAACATACCGCATGGCTATTAACATAACCTCACTGGGAAGAAAATAAGAAAACAAGAAACTCATTAAGTATCACACGCGGTAATCAAGAATATATTTTTGTAATCTCGCAGTAACAGGATTCATAAGCAGAAACAGAAGGTCTTAAATCGACAGTGGAACTTTAGTTACCTATTTGGGAAAGGGCAAAGAGGGTTTCTGGCTATTTCATTTCCAAAACTTACAAGGCCTGACATCAGTATCTGTAAGACAGATCCAACACTGGTCAAGAATTGTTCTAGCTTCCTAAGCTAAGTTCATTACCAAAAATACATAAAGAGCAACACACAGCATGATTAAGGTGTAAGGAAAAAATCATTCATTAATCACTATCTTAACAAAATTACTATTTTTATTTTTTAATTTTCCCTGTCTTTCCTCATATACATATACATTTTACCATATAATTTTATATTCTGCTTTATAGCTTAAAGAATTATTCCATGGTTCTACATAATCTTTAAAGCAAACACTTAAATCGAATAGTTTTCATTGAGTGGCTATGCTATTTTTCCTCTTTGGTTATAGACATTTAGGTTGCTTCCAAGTTTTTACTTTTCTGAAACAGAAATTTGTGCTTAAGATGTCTTTCATTTCTACTACTACTTAGGGTAAGTTCCCAAAAGATATTATTACCAGGTAAACTGCCTGCATGGCCCTTAATACACTAGACCATTCCTTTTTGAAATACAAATACAAGTAAGAGCAATGTGAGGTTTTTGTTGTCATTTTAAGTGTTCAAATCTCCCATGCAGTTATAAAGAATGTCATGCAAGAGCTCTCCACCTGTTATTTCTCAAGTAAATACAATTTAAGTTTTAGCTTCTCAAATAAGTTTTTTATAATAAGCTCTGATATTACTGATTATACTCCTAATTAATTTTCAGTGTATCTATTATAATGAAATTAGATCATTTACTAGAATTTATTCATCTTAAAAAGTCCTGCCTGTGGTAGGGTTGATAATTCATTTATTTTAGAGAACTTTAATCCCAAGAAGACGAGAGCCCAGATCACATACCTCACCTACTTAGATGAACTTAGCTCCTAATTACCACTATACATTTTCTTTCCAACAGCAATGTGCTATTTCTAAAATTTATTAGATAAGGAAAATAACTTCCTTCTTAGTGAAAATACTGAACAGTGATGACAAATGTTTTTATTTTACAATCATTTTAGGTTAGGCACTTCACTCCAGGATATAATTTCAAGTGATACTAAGAAGGTTTATGGATACTTTAACAAATGAGTTTATTGACTATTTTTCTTTCAATGTACAGGAAGTCTGTGTGTCATTGAAAGGATATTTAATGCAGCAGCCAGTTACTTTTGCAGATCTGCAACCTTTTTCTTCTGAAATCAGTAAGGTCTCATTATACAGTAAGTCAGGATACCTATAGTGTAAAAAGGGGCAAAATATTATTCTATATAATTGTATTTATAATTCTTTGTACTTCAGTGTTTCTCAAAGTAGGTCCTTAACTGCAACATCACCATCATTTGGAACTTGTAAGAAATACGTATCTCAGGCCGCAGCCCAGACCCGGTGAATCAGAAACTAGTGACAAAACAAGGTGTTTGAACAAGCACTCCAGGTGATGCACACCAAAGTTTAAAAACAGCTATGGTGTGGAATTTGCCACATTAAGCCTAATTTCCATTTATTAAATTAAAAACCTCTCCTTATTACAACTAACTACCTATACTCCCATCTATATGTATGGGGAAATAGTCCAAATTTTCCTCAGAAAAGAGGAGTCACTTTATACCTGAATCTTTAAAAAAGTTTCTTAAATTAGGGTTCCTTAAAAAAAAATAAAAAGAAGATTTTATTTATTCATTTTGAGAGATAGAAAGAGAGCCAGCAGGGGAGGGGCAGAAGGACAGAGAGAATCTCAACCGGACTCCATGCTGCACGCAGAGACTGACGCAGGGCTCCATCTCAGAATCTTGAGCCCATGACCTGAGCCGAAATGAAGAGTCAGACACTCAACCCACTGAGCCACCCAGATGCCCCTGTGGGTGCTCTATTAATTTATTTTGCACAAAATATTTGGGAAGATATCTTAGCCTAAAAGAACGCCAACCAATGGTATATGTGGATGCTTAAAAAGATCACCTGATAGAATCATAAAAAAGGAAGCAGAATTTAAATATCAATTCAATAAACATTCCTGGCCACAGGACTCAACACTGTAGGCATTGAATATTATCATAAAATTCTTAAAAATAATCTTTTTTTTTTTTTTTTAAAGAGTTTATCTATTTCTTTGAGAGAGAGAGAGAGAGAACAAGCACAAGAGGAATGAGGGCGCAGAGGGAGAAGCAGACTTTCTGCTGAGCAGGGAGCCAGATGCTGGGCTCGATCCCAGGGGCTCTGGAATCGTGACCTGAGTTGAAGGCAGACATTTAACCAATTGAGCCACCCAGGCGTCCCATAAACAAAATTTTTAAAGATGACTTTAAAAAGGAATATAGTAAATGATTACATTATAGCTAGCACTTAACCAAGAGATATAATTAAAGAAAATCAAGTGCTCGAATACATTCAGTAGGGATCTATCTTGAGAAAAATTCAGTCACACATGGGTTCAAAAAGTGCTCTAATGTATCTCAAACAAGCTATACATGTAAACATTATGTGCTCTGGAAAATGTCTGGATAAGTTGGAAAAAAAATAACTCTTGTGATGACAAAGTCACTGATGTCAATAAGCCATGTGAGACATCGGAATTAAATTGTTTAATGAAATTTGAGTAGGAAAATGACAAATTAATAAATTCAAATACTTCATTTAGCAAGTTATTTTAAAGGTATCTAACTAAATTTAAGAAGTAAATAACATATTAAGACATTTGCTTATTTCGTGCACATATCTTTAAGTTTACATATTGATATTAGCCTAAAATAATTTTTTTGGACTTTCTTTACTGAGGAAATGGAGTACTGCCTTCAATTTGAGGTGGCTTTATTTTCAGGCACATTGACTAAGCTGGGCTTTGAGATTCATCCTTAAAGCCTTAGGTGATCCACTGTAAACAGGAGGAAGGAATAAAACAAAGGTCAAATAAATGTGGGGGAGAAGTATACAGGTAAGGAAAAGGCCACGTGTGTTGTGTCATAAAGAGGAGGGGTTGGTAAGGAACAGGCAATGCTGTATGTGCAATCCTGTGCGATATTACGGGAGGGGTTTTCTAGCTCTACAAAGTTCATCTTACTATTTTTTTTGAAGATTTTATTCATTTGTCAGAGAGAGAGAGCACATGAGCAGGCGGAGCGGCAGGAGGAGGTAGAAGCAGGCTCCCCGCCGAGCAAGGAGCCCCACGTGGGGCTCATGGGATCATGACCTGAGCCAAAGGTAGATGCTTAACCAACTGAACCACCCAGGCATCCCTGGTTTATCTTATTTTTTAAAGTTTTTGTGTCTTCTCTCTATCTCGAGGTATTACTTATGGTTTCCCTCTGCTGTCACTTGATTTAAAACCTGTAGGAAACCAGGGGTTATGTGTATCTGTCCATGGCAAAATCTCCACTGGCTAGCTCAGTACTTGGCACACAGTATAACTGAATAAACAAATGCCATCTTTTCCCCATGCATCTTTAGTTATTCTGTCTGAAATAACAGTAATGACAATAGTAAGAGTCATACTCCTAAAAATCACCACTTACTGAACACTTCTGAATCAGGCACTGTGTTAAGTGATCTACATACCTTATCTAAATTAATCCTCAAAACAATCCTGTATTAAGTTGAAATATAGGAAATTGCCAATACTCGAATTTTTTTTTTGTTTTTTCTTTGTTTCTTTAAATAAACTTTTGGGGTATCTGGCTGGCTCAGTTGATAGAGCACGAGACTCTTGATCTCATGTAAGTTTGAGCTCCACGTTGGGTATCAAGACTACTTAAGAAAATAAACAAAATCTTAAAAGTTTTAATCTGGGAATTGTTTTAAATTCACACAAAGGTTGTAAGGATAGTACAGAGAACTCTTGCATATGTTATACCCAGCTTCCCTTATTAGTAATACATTATTATGGTACATTTGTCACAACTGATGAATCATACCAGTAAATTACTATTGGAAGTCCATACTTTATTCAGAATTCCTTACTTTTTACCACATGTCTTTCTTCTAGTCCAACATCCTATCTAGAATATCACATTATATTTGGTTATGTCTCCATAGACTCCTCAGAGCCAGTTTTTATGAGTACTAATGAGGTATTTTATATATGTTTTTCTTATGGTTAGATTACTATTTTGAGGAGGAAGAGACCACAAAAGGTAAGTGCCATCTTTATCACATCATGGTCAGGGGCACAAAATACCAGCATGACTTGTCACGGCTGACAGTGACCTTGATTACCTGGCTAAGATGGTCCGTGTCCGGTTTCTCCACTGTACTTTTTGGAAGAAGTTACACTTAAGGAGGAAGGTCCTCGAAGGCAGCTGCCTATATAAATTATTTGGAATCCTTCTATATGAGAGATTTGTCTGTTGTCTACTATTTGTTTCTTCAGTTATGTCAGTATGAACATCCATCTTATACTTTAGGGTACAACCCAATTTTATGTTATTTTATTGCTCAAATTGTTCCAGCTTTGGCCACTAGAAGCCTTTGACATATTTCCATCATTTTGTTTTTTGAGCACTTCCTTACTGTCTGGCTCTTTGAGATGTTCCAGACAAATCTTAGAGATTTCCTGCCTTGGTCCTAGAATCAGACATTTCTTCACGAAGCCTGTTACCTTTTATTAAAGAATGGTGTAAGACACCGGGATCTGGATGCTTAGGTTGAACTATTTTTGTTTTATAAAAAAACAATTTCATATGGCACAACATAGTATTACCTCAGTTTTACCGATGAGAAAACTGAAGCTAGAGGAGAATTAGTAACTTATACTGAAGATCTATGGATTCAAAGTGCCAGAACCAGACATCAAATCCGCATAAAATAAAGTCACCAATTTTAACAGGCTATGAGTAAAGGACATGATCACTGAAGCTTGGTGTTAGCTATTTTAGTTACTCAAAGAGGTTTTGCTTACTCTATGTTCATAGACCGATGGAAAAAATAGGACACTGTTATGTAGTCCAGCCCTTTCAGGGAATAATACATTGAATTTCAAAGTAAAAAAAGGACCATTTTTTCTTTCTTTCTTTTTTTTTTTTTTAAAGATTTTATTTATTTATTTGTCAGAGAGAGAGAGAGAGAGCACAAGCAGGCAGAGTGGCAGGCAGAGGCAGAGAGAGAAGCAGGCTCCCTGCTGAGCAAGAAGCCCGATGCGGGACTCAATCCCAGGACCCTGGGATCATGACCCAAGTCGAAGGCAGTGGCTTAACTCACGGAGCCACCCAGGCGTCCCAAAAAAGACGATTTTTTTTCTATAACCACGTAATTTTTAAAAGTATATCCATCACTCACTATAATTACAGGAAATCAGTTCAAAAACCCATTCTTGCAACTGTTTTTTCCCCTAAGACCAAAACACCTATAAAATGAACAACTGATGTATTAATACTATCTTTTAGCAGTTTATAAAAATACAGTCAAGATAACTGAATGTTTCCCAGTTACTGCAGAAGAAAAATACCAAAAATTAAACATAAAGTGTTGAGTATTTGATTTGCAAGAGACCTTGTAAGATTAGACCAATTTACTTCCAAAGCTGGTGGTTTTTGCATAAAATGTACTCCTGATTCTATGTCTTCATGCTAATTTTACTAATACAAATTAAAACTTACTAGAATACCTAGCCACAATGGATCCTTTTAAAATCAAGGTTTCTTATTTATTCATCTAGCACAAAACTTTATTCATCATCTTATTAGAATAATTTTCAAAATCAACTGCTGTGAATATCACTGAAGTTAGATTTATGGAGCAATTTTCCCTTTCCACAACCAAACCACAAAAAAATCAAAAAAACGGTTTGAAAGGAATCATAAAAAATTACCTAGTTCTGGGGCACCTGGGTGGCTCAGTGGATTAAAGCCTCTGCCTTTGGCTCAGGTCATGATCTCGGGGTCCTGGGATCGAGCCCCACATCGGGCTCTCCGCTAAGCAGGGAGCCTGCTTCCCCCTCTCTCTCTCCCTACCTCTCTGCCTACTTGTGATCTCTGTCTGTCAAATAAATTAAAAAAAAAAAAAAATCTAAAAAAAAAAAAACCAAAAACATTACCTAGTTCAAACCTCTTATAGAAACTAAAGTATTGTGAAGCTAAAGGTTTTGCCTAAAGTCCACTGCTAGTTAATTAATGAAAAAGGACTAACAGCCACACATCTTAAGACTAGGTTCTTTCTCCTATACTGTACTACCCTATAAAATATACAATAAATTATATATATATGTGTGTGTGTATATGTATGTATATACAACTATATACGTATGTATTATGCTAGTAAGATTCTTTTCTTGTTGAAGGATTTTCAAACCGTCTGTAATAACAAGGAACTGGAGAACAAGTATAAAAATTGTACTCCTACTCTATTACCCTCAATTCATTTTCACTGAACTTAATTTTTTTCAGTGCCCAGTCTACAAGCTAAGTATGTGCCAGGCACTAGAGGGCTGGATGCTTGGAAAACAAAGACATGGTCCCTACCCTTAAGAAAGCTCTCAATTTTAAATTCATAGCACCCTCCTAAATGTCTCCCATGCTGATTCTTCCTTATCACACAAACTCTAGAAGAGTGCTCCAACAGAAATACAATGTGAATCACCAGTGAGCCATGAATATTACGTAATTTCCAATTTTCCAACAGCTACACACATCCCTCCAACAATCTCATGGCCTTAAATACCACCCATTTTCTAGTGACTCCCAATTTATATCAGGCTTAGACTCCCACCTCAACTTTAGATTCCTACACAACTCCCTGCACACAAACCTAACATGTGCTACACTGAACTCCTGACTTCCACCTGGCTCTCCCCACCTAAATCTGCTTCCTCTTCCTCTCTGTAAAGGGCAACTCCATCCCTTCAGCTGCTCAGGCCAAAAACCAGTCAAGCTTGACCCTCTTCTTTCTCCTTCCTGCATCCAGTTCATCATCTGTCTTTAAAATTGTTTATTAAATACAGTCGAAGCTTATACAGTTCATAAAATACAGGGAGAATCACTACTTCTCACCTGTTCCACTGCTAAGTTCTACTTCAGGTCACAAGCATCTCTCATCTAAATCACCACAACCACTGCCTGCCTTCCACTTACTCACAGCTCCCTGCACTCTTACAGTCCACTTTCCACAGGAGCCACAGTTTCTAAACCCAAGTGAGATACTGTCCCTCCTCAGCTTTAACGCCTTCCTATTTTACCCCGAGTAAAACTCCAGTTCCTCCAGCAGCATGTGAAGATCGACAAAGCCCTATGAGGTCTAGCCCATCACTCTCTCCCTCATGCAAGCTACTCCAGCTACACTGGACGCCTTGCTGTCCCAGAGCACCAAGAGCACTTTCAGCACCACTGAGAACCTTCCCACTTGCTACTGTTCCCCCTGCTTGGAATGCTTTTACCCAGAACCCACAGAATGATCCCCAAATCATGCCAGTCTTTGCTCAAATGTCCCCTATTTAGAACTGCAATACTATTCTTCACATCCTCTGTCTCGTCTTCCCTTTCTTGTCCCACTTTTTCTCCAGAGGATTTAACCACCACTTGATAATGTATATTTCATTTAGTAATGTCTTTCTTTTCTTCCCCTATGAGAGTAAAATTCCACCAGGACAGGGTTTTGTTTGTTTCGTTCACAGTTCTATTCCCAGTGCCTAGAACTCAGCATACAGCAATCAATAAATTTTTTAAAAAAGATTTTACGTATTTGACATAAAGAGAGATCACAAGTAGGCAGAGAGGCAGGAAGAGAGAGGGGGAAGCAGGCTCCCTGCTGAGCAGAGAGCCTGATGCGTGGCTCGATCCCAGAATCCTGGGATCATGACCTGAGCCAAAGGCAGAGGCTTAACCCACTGAGCCACCTAGGCGCCCCATCAATAAATATTTGATAAATGAACAAATACTGTCAAGTATCGTATGGATTAAATGAGATTATAAATAAAGCTGTAGTGTGTCCCTATAATACAGCAGCCACTCATGAACATTTGCCTTTTTCTTACTTGTGGTGGTGCTTTCCATAAAAGAAAAATCAGAACTCTAAAATTACGTAAATTCTAAAAGCCTTATATCTCATTCTATACTTTTCTTACTCCTTACTCTAAATATCTGATCATTAATTATTCAAGAGACAATTTAAAAAGAAATATAATAGAAATTACCTAATTTTTAAAAATCAGTAGGTAGATACAAAATTCAGTAGGTATCATAGAACACTAACTCAGAATGTAATCACCCTTAAAATATGGAGAAAATTAGGGCGCCTGGGTGGCTCAGTGGGTTAAGCCGCTGCCTTCAGCTCAGGTCATGATCTCAGGGTCCTGGGATCGAGTCCTGCATCGGGCTCTCTGCTCGGCAGGGAGCCTGCTTCACCCTCTCTCTCTCTGCCTGCCTCTCTGCCTACTTGTGATCTCTCTCTGTCAAATAAATAAATAAAATCTTAAAAAAATATATATGGAGAAAATTAAATAAAGTGCTGTTTAAATCATCTTTTTTTTTTTTAATTTTATTTATTTGACAGAGAGATCACAAGTAGGCAGAGAGGTGGGCACAGAGAGGGGGAAGCAGGCTCCCCACTGAGCAGAGAGCCTGATGCGGGACTCGATCCCAAGACCCTGAGATCACGACCTGAGCCGAAGGCAGAGGCTTAACCCACTGAGCCACCCAGGTGCCCTGTTTAAGTCATCTTTAAAGATAAAAAACCATAATCTATGGCTCTCTCCTATAGGAAAATTTTTTAAAATGGATTCACAGTGTTCAACAGGACTTCACTTTTATTCATCCAGAACTTGTATCCTGCTTTCCTCTAAGGGAATTTTAGTCTAAGAGATCATCATTTTCTTTAAAAAAACATGAACAAAAACAAAAACAAAACAAAACAAACCCAACCATACATATTACTTAACTGAAAAAACTTCAATGAAAAAAAAATGAACCTAGTCTGAACTTTGGTATTCCTATAAAATTATTTTGTGTTTAAAGCTAAAATAAATAAAGGAACTAAGATATTAATAAAATGTGACCCCCCCTTCCCAAAATATTGAGTGCCAGAGACTTCAAGTGACTGGCCCACAGAGGTCACAATGTTGGTGACTAAATTGAGACTAAAAGGTCATGGCCTTGAATCCTCCTCTTACACACTTTCTACTACACTTCAGTAATACATAAACCAATGCCTTACACACCAACCAATTATGCTGGCTGCCCCTGCTCCTTTAAAAAGGAAGAAAAATAAAAGCAAATGGAGTACTGTAATTTGCAATGATAATTTATACTTCAGACAGGAAAGTTTATGGAGAAAAGACAGAAACATGCACAAACGAGCAAAGTGTAAGTCAGAATTGTCATGGAGATATTATAAAGACGGGTAGAAGAAATAAGCATAAAATGCCATAGATACATGGTTTATATTTTATTTTTCAAAAAGCTAACAACTCATGGGATTTATAGGTGTTCAGAAATTTGGATAAAATTTCATGTTATCACTGATGAGAATGACGTACCTTACGTTCCACGCAGTGGTGAAGTCTGGGTTTAGAAGCAGCAGGGTGCATGTGACATCTATCAGTTCTAAAATAAAGAGAAATCACATTAAAAATAGTCCTACCCTTTGAAGCCTGGCTTTTCTTTAAGTTATATCTTGTGTATCTGTACCTGATGTTATACTAATATATATACTATGTCATAATAACTTTAATGGCAGATACCCTGTTCTAAGCTGTCAGAAATATGAAGATTACTCTCAAGATTTTTTCTACTTTATGATAAAAGTTACTCTTAAAAGTTGACACTGAAATAATTTTACAACACATTATGGCTACAAAGACTATTCACTCATTCTTTTAATAGTTTTTGGCTCTAATTTAATATTGACCAAGGAAAAGAAATACAATTTCCATACCATTATTCTTTTAATTCCACAAATATTTCAATAACTGACTATCTGCAAATTTTCAGAAAGGGAAAAAAAGACCCACTGATAATCATTTAACACAATTCATTTACATTCGCCTGCAAAGATTACCCTTTCTTACCCACATTTTTACATAGTCATAGCAATGATAAATGCACCACTTTGTTCTCTTTTCCATTCAATATTATTTGACATGCATTCTCCAGTATTGCTACAGTTATGCATTTTTAACAGCTGCAAAACAACCCTTAGTGTAATACACTATCATTTATCTTTATCATTCTTTAGGTTTTTTCCTGTTTGTTTTTACTATTATAGATAATATTACTGTAAACACACTTTTTGTCTCATAGATTATTTTCTCAGTACATATTCCCAGGAGCTGAACTACTATGTCAAACAATACAAATACCAGTATGGCTCCTACTAAGCATTTCCAAACTGTCCTTCAAATGAACAGCATCTATTCATATTGCCAAGATAACAGGAGTGCACTTATGTCCCTGTAATTCTAACCTATATAATGGTATTTTAAAAATGAATGCAGCAGATAAAAAATTATACTTTGCTTTATTTTACAACTTTAATTTATAATCATTAATATAAATACTTTTTCATTTTTGTTCAGTATTTTCTATTTTCGTTTTTAAACAGCCTATTCAATATTCATTAGCTATCTGACAATCATGGTACTGTCAGAATTTCCATACATTCAAATAAGCCCCATAAGCTTGTTTAATAGGTAATATAATTAGAATATTGTCTTCATTTTACTAAAACTGAAAAGAGAATTTTAGGATTAAGATGATCAATGTAGGACCATGAAATTAAAGTAACTTCTACCAAGCTCATATTAACCAACCAAACACCAAGTAAAATAAAATAATAAAAATAATTATAACTATTTAGCATTAGTGTATACCAGGCACCACTGGAGGTCTTTTATTTACATTATTTCATTGAGTTCTCATGATTATGGTTCAAGATATTCTTGTTTCGCTTCACAGAAAGGAAATTGACATATAGAGAGTATAAATAATTTGCTCGTGGGCACCCAATATGTATATGTCAAAGTCAGCATCTGACTGTTTTTAATAATTTAATTACATGGTAATTAAAATACCTGTCTATAATAAATAGTTGGGACATCTCAGTGTTTAACAAACTTTTTAAAACACAAGAGCATGCATAAATATATCTCTGTATTCTTTCTAAAATATTCTAAGTGAAAAAATCAATTATTTAATTCTCAACCATCTTATGAAATTAACATGTATTGTCAGCCTATCATTTCATTACTATAACATTCAATAAATGAGAAATAAGATTAGCATACTTTTTTTTAAAAAAGATATTATTTATTTATTTGACAGACAGAGATCACAAGTAGGCAGAGAGGCAGGCACAGAGAGGGGGAAGCAGGCTCCCTGCTGAGCGGAGAGCCGGATGTGGGGCTCGATCCCAGGACCCTGGGACCATGACCTGAGCCGAGGGCAGAGGCTTTAACCCACTGAGCCACCCAGGTGCCCCTAGCATACATTTTTGACCTTTATCTTCCTCATTACATGTCATTATATGCATAAATACAATATGTCTATAAAGAATAACCTAATTATTAACCTCTTCATTCTTTTATTTTTATAAGCTTTTGGCACTAATTTAATATCTACCAAGAAAAAAAACTATATCATATCATCTATATCATAACTTGTTTAATTCCATAATATCCCAAGTAGTGATTATGTGCAAATATTAAACTGGGCCCTTAGGACTGGTAGAAGAGATATAATGATAAATAAGACCCGATCTTGCCTTCTAGAAGGTTACCCTTTAGTTGGAGAAAACATACAAAGAATTATATAAGACAAAATGAAATAATGATGAACTGGAAACATGTACCGTATTTTGGGAACCACCAAAGCAGTTGAAATTAATTCTTACTGGAGTAAGGGAAGGCTATAAGTGAATAAAGTGGTAAAGAGCACTGCAGACTAGAAAAAAGTATGATAGGCACAGAAGGTCACACAGGGTGCTCTCCAAGAGACGGTGGGTATCAGAACTTGACTAGAGCACAGGATACTGGAGAAATGTACCAGAAAACTAGAACCTGGTCAAAAACAAGAACCCACAATCTCCTTCTCAGCCTCCCTTCTACTACCTGCCCTTCATGTGCTATACTCCACCTGAGCCAAACCCCACCATTCTCTAAACACAACTCCTATCTGACTACCTTCTCTGGATAATCAGCTTTACCTGTTTGCTCCTCTCTCTGCCAGAAATGTCCTCCTTTATTTGAATATTAAACAAAATTTTCTTTTTTCCATAAAGTCTCTCCTGACCTACCTACCTGGAGCAATCTTCATTTCTATGTTCGTATGTATCTTACTTTATTACTGATACTGTATAAATAATCTCTTCTTGATGAGACTACACTTTTTGGAGGCAGGTCCTCTCTAATACATCTTCAGATTACTCATTCACTCAACAAAGATGAGAAAAATATGGCCCCGTCCAAGAAGTTCCATGTGTACCCACAGCATAGAGGAATTGTAAGCCATGGCACCTAGGTTTGAATCCCAGCTTCTCCATTTAATTGCCTATGTAACTTAACGTTTTCGAACATCAGTTTCCTTATCTGTGAAACAAGAATGATGAGAAGGTCAATCTCTGTTGTGAGCCAAGTGAGATTCATTCCAGTTCTCCAGTTATTTGACATATAGTAAATGCTTAGCCAAACCAAAGATTTGTCCAATGAAATACCATTGCTACTTACCAACCAAAAAATGAATACTTTCAACATTAATCAAAGAAATCAGAAATAAGGCCGTTGTTTTTACAGTGAAACTATGTAAACTTCTAAACTTTTAAAATAAGGAATGAGAAAAACCCATGTATTAAGTAGCTAATGGAAATCCTTCTGTATTATGGGAAGACTTCTAGAATTTTTTTTCAAGTCTACAACTTTTCAAAATCCATTATACTACCTAGGTAACCTGGTACTTATTGGACTCTCTTTATTTGGCATTAAAAAGAAATGTGTGGGGGCACCAGGATAGCTCAGCTGGTTAAGCGACTAACTTTGGCCCAGGTCATGATCCTGGAGTCCTGGGATCACGTCCTGCATCGGGCTCCCTGCTCAGTAGGAAGTCTGCTTCTCCCTCTGATCCTCACCCCTCTCATGCTCTCTCTCACTCTTTCTCTGTCAAATAAATAAATAAAATCTTTAAAAAAAAATGTGTAACTAAAGGTAGTCGCCATTTGTTTGTACGGCTGACCCTCGAACAACATGGGTTTGTGCCACACAAGTCCATTTGCGAATTTTTTTCAATAAATACAGTACAGTACTGTAAATGTATTTTCTCTTCTTTATGATTTTCTTTTCTCTAGCTTACTTTATTGTAAGAATACAGTAAATAATATATGTAACATACAAAATTTGTGTTGACTATGTTATCAGTAAGTCTTCTATCAATAGTAGGCTGTTACTAGTTAAGTTTTTGGGGAGTCAGAAGTTATATGCAGATTTTTGAATGCACTACGTGGGGTGAGTCCAGTGCTGTAATCCCTGCATTGCAAAAGAGTCAACTACATTTCTAACACAACTCTCCTTCCCCACTCAGAAGTGAAGGCAAGTTCCTCCTCCATCACAGAGATACTTCTGTGAGGCAGGACAAGGCAGAAACCAGTAAACACAGAAAATACCTAAGTTGCCACTTTTCATTTTGTGGCTGTGTGGAAAGAAAAGCTAATCAAAAGAAGGCTTCCTCTACCAGTGGGGCTCATCCTACCTCTAGGATACCAGCAACGGCTGGATTCAAAGCCCAGCTCCAACTTTCCAGGAAGCACCTGGGCAAGGCACTTAACCTCTATGTGCCTCTGTGTCTTCCTCATATGTAAAATGGAGCTAATAATAGCACTACCTCATGCGTCTTACATGATTCACACTCACGAAGTGTTAGGACAATACCTGACACACATTAAGCACGCAACGTTAATTCCAGTTTCCGAGCCTGAATGTCCTAGCCCAGCTCTGCCATATACTAGGACTGGATGCCACCAGAGGGAGGGAAAACAATCACCTGAGCGGGCTAAGCAGTGACTGCTTGGCCCCTTATTCCTCAGCTTCTAAGAATCTCAGGATTTATGACATCAACGGCCTCACGGGTTGTGTATAAAACACCTGCAGCCGCAAGCCTTTTTCCTGTCCTGTCTGACAAACTGCCAAGTGCTCCCCACTCAGGACTCAAGTTCAGACAGGACCTCCTTCAGGAAGCATTCCAGTCAGATCCAAGAGGTGGGGGTGAAGTGAAATGTCAGAGACAGGAAAGGGCCAAAGAAAGAGAAGCAACAGGTTCAGAAATATTGGATAATTAAAGAATCATTCCTGAATTACATGTATTTTCTTTTTTTCTTCCCCACTGGTTCCGATTAAATCAGAGAAAGGAACTCGTGTTTTCTGAGAGCCTAGTACGGGCAACACTCCTCACTGGGTGCTTTATACACACTAACTTGTGTGATCCTCTCAAAAACCCTCTGAAACATTTTACAATTCCCTTCTTTTGGTGAAGAAACAGGAAGAGGTTAAATAATTTGCCTTACGTCACTGCTAAGTGACTTCAGCATGCTGACCAACTGAGTCTACATCTAGATGTTTTCC